CATTGATGAGTGGTGACCACATTGATGACTTGGAGACTATCAGAGTGGTGACCACATTGATGACTTGGAGACTATCTGCAGGGGTAGCACTGCTTCACTGGAAGGCATATTGATGAGTTGGCAAGATATTGGTGTTGCGCTGATGAGCGCTGGACTCAGGGAAACTTTGAAACACTTTGTATCCATATTTTTGATAATATAAGCTGTGAAACTCGGTTCTCATCTTCTCTACCTATTATCAGACTACTGTTCGTTGTGTGTGGGAGAACGATGCATGGCATGTACACACTTGCGTGAGATGGTCTCCAGGACCCATGCAAAAGGGTCCCCTTTATGTCAATTCGAGGGCCCCTGCAGGTACCTTGAATTGCTCCTACACCCTGTGTGGAGCCATTGAGGGCCGCTGCTTCAATGAGAAGGATGGCCTCGTCATGCATGAAAGACATGGGGGCAGACCACCAATATATGCTGTGGATTCGAGTTCAGGGCTGTAGCTCGGCAGTTATGGGTCACCAGTTCAGCTAGACCCTGTTTGTGTTTCCACGTGATTCTTAGGGCCACCCTCCACCACTCACCAAATGTATATAATATTAGTAGAATGAATCTTCTGCTAAGACATGGAACCACACACCGCCATATGCTATGTCTTTTGTGCATTTGGTGAGTAGTGGAGCAGGCCCCGCTGGGCGTATTCGTAAGAAAACAAAAACAAGAAAACGAGAGAGCAATGGGCATCTTCATTCTAACCCATAACTGCCTCCATGCAGACCTGAACGCCAATCTTCAACATATATTGGTGGTCTGGTGGCCATAGAAAACGCAACTTGTGTGATCTCTGCGAAGCTTCGCGGGGCAGGTTGTTATCAGGCGACTACCCCTTCTTGCAAAGTTACCCCACCACTGTGTGGTATTTGCAGAAGGGAGCGGATAGAACATCTTTCGTACCCCGCCTAAGAACGAAGATGGAATGAGCGTTGTTTTTCAAGTATTTCATGCTTCGTCATTCTGAAACTTTTGGGGTAAGGGCCTGCGGAAATTGATATTTGGCAGCCCTTACCCAAAAGAAGATTTCGAGCTGGGGGTGTGGCCGGTTTCCGAGCTCGTGTGGTGAGTTTAACAGTTTTGCCGAGTTAGGGCCCTAAGAAATTACGAAACCCCTATTCTCTTCTTCTTTTTTTTTTTTTTTGTGGACCTACGGTTCGGTGCGCTGCGCGCGGTGCACAAGTCCGCGCACCGAGGTGCGCAGCAACTATGCTGCGAACACTTCTCGCGGCAGAAGTATGCACTCCTTTCCTCCGTGCGCTGTTATGGGTGGGCCCACTCCATTGGCTGAAGGAGTGCCTGCGGTGAGTGAAGAGCCTATAGCAGCAGCTGTTGCGAGATGGAGGCCAATTGGCCCTTGCTTGGAGTTATTGCTATTTTATTGCCTTGGGCACCGGGCTTGTTTTCGAATAAATCGTGGTTTTAAGTTAGTCACACACGCTATTTCTTATCTATAAATTTGCCGAGAACGAGGTAAGTCAATTCTCATATATGAATCATCCTTCGGCCTTGAATGTCAAATAAGAGGAGGCCTCTGCTTCCTGTTGCGCCTTTGGCTCCACTCTGGCGATAGATGAGATGCGAAGCGTCTGATCGAGTACACATGTGGGTGCTGCCTCCAGCACGCAGTTTCCGAGTTAGAGCGCCCACTTCGTTCACTGGCCTAACCGTCAATTTGTCAGTCCTCTGTTTTTTTTTTTTTTTTTTTTTTTTTTTTTTTTTGACGGACGTTCCTTTACTGAGGCTGCTTCCTCCTTCAGTTGGGCACATCTTTTTCATTTCGTTTCTTACAATACCTGCCCTTAATGGTCCAAATCAGGCCGCAATTTTTTGGTATGGCTGTTGTTCCGATTTGGACGCAAATTTTTGGTATGGCGGTTGTTCTGAATAGCCAGAGCAATGCACGTTCAGCGTGACCTATGTTTTTGGGACTGTGGGGCAATCCTCCCTGCCACCCTTGTGTAACACCTTGGGCCCCCCCAACCCCACCTCCCGTTCCCCTTAGATGGGAAGTTTGCAATGCTCATCGTTGTTAATCGTATGGTGAAATCTGTCTTTCTGGCTGTTCCTTTGGACTCATGGTTAACTCATGGTTAAGGGTGTATGCCTGTCTAAGAGTTGTTGGGCCCCCAACCTGCACCTCCCCTTCCACTGAGCTGGGAAATTTCCAATCCTTGTATTTTCTAACTGTATACAGTTTACAGTGATGCCTGTGTTTTTCTCTCTGTTCCTTTCGACTCGTGGTTAACTTGTGGTTAAGGGTGTATGCTTGTCTAAGAGTTGTTGTTCGTTCATTTTTATGCTCCGACAGGATGTCAATGCCAAGGCGTCTGCGCGGTTGATGTTTGATGCGGCCCTTCTGGAGAGCGGTTTCCTTTTGGAAGAGCCCAAGGACTTTGCTGCTCGGTTCTATGACGTCTTGAAGAAAACCTTGGATGTGGACCCCGATGCAACTGTGGAGCCTGATGACGAGCCTGCAGAGCAGGAGGAGACAACAAGTGGAAATGAGGTAAGAGCTGCGGCTGACTCATCAGATGGATGCGATGCATCTGGTCACGTGTAGTGTGTGTCTTGCATGGGCCTCGCTCCACTGCACGACTTTCTAAACTTATCCTGGGCGCGTGGCTTGGTCCCTTTAACATTCAAAATGATGAATCAGTCCAAATGCATCTGTTCCACTATCTTTCCAGATGCATGTAGAATGTTGTGTAGTGGAGTGAATGTTGAATCGGTCCAAATGCATGCGCTGCAGCCTGTCCAAGATACATGTAGAATATTGTGTAGTGGGCCTCGAGGCCCCATGGCTTGGTCCCTTTAACATTCAAAATGATGAATCAGTCGAAATGCATCTGTTCCACTATCTTTCCAGATGCATGTAGAATGTTGTGTAGTGGAGTGAATGTTGAATCGGTCCAAATGCATGCGCTGCAGGCTGTCCAAGATACATGTAGAATATTGTGTAGTGGGCCTCGAGGCCCCATGTCTGATATCTGCCCAGCCATGCCGTATGCTCTGTATAGTACGTATGATGTAATCTCCTGTGATGCCGTGGTCACTGTAAACATCATCGCAGTCATCCTTTTATACAATCACCAGTAAACATGCAGACCCGACAAGATGGGACTGGCTCGCAAACTCCGTATGTTTAGATAGGACTGGGCATAGACGTTAAGATAGGACTGGGTTCCAGAACCGACAAGATCGGACTGGGTCGCAAACTCCGTGTAACGACTGGGCTTTAGGCGTCAAGGTCGGACTGGGTCCCAACAACCTCCCTCCCTCGGTGGCTGGACTCGGCAAGCATTTTGGACGCCGCATGATGTGGCTGGCTTGGCAAGCGTTATGGCCGTCGCATGGCCTGTCATCGAGATGCAAGCAGCTGGTCCTCTGCGTGATGACAATGGATGGCGTTAGCACTTTTTTGCTGTCGGATTTTACGACAATAATGTTATGAGCTTTGCGAGACACATTGGTCGAGATGTGAAACTGGGCCCCACGGAAAGTAACAGCACCGCTGAGTTGACATGTGTGGGAGATTTTCTTCGTGGTCCAGTTTGGAAGTTTTGAGCTGGACCTTGCTTTTTTCCGAAAACTTCCAAATAAGTTTTTATGTCTCTCAATCTGTGGTAAGAAATCTGTCAGTCATTGACAGTTGGATTCGTTTAGAGATCTCAAATCAATAACCAACCGGCTGACAAACTATTGTTGCTTCAAATGATTGAGTGGTAATGAATTTTTTCACCAATGACGAGGGTCCAGCTAGGTGTGCATGTGGTCGTCGTCCTATTCGGTGGCTTGGTCTGCTCGGCAGTGGAAGTAACGTTTGTTATCTTCCATTCGGCGAGGTTTCGGAGAAATACACGTTTTCTTCGGAAGGTACTGACTGGCAACAACCACATTTTAAATTGAGCCTCGCGCCACTGCACAACAACGTTCTGAATGTATCTTGAGCTGATGATGGTCTCAACGCATTCAAAATGTTGGATCAGTCCCAAGGTATCTTGTCCAACTTGCAGTCCAGACGCACGTACGATGTTTACGTAAGCAAGCGAGTTGCTAAATCATTAACGGGGGGAATCTCGCTCCTGCTTCGGGAAGCTCCTCCTGAACTGCAAATTTGTGATCAGTGGCCGCTAGCTTCCCGTGTCTGGCTGGTGAATCGCAGGTCCCGTAGCTAGTCACTTCTACTACCCCGTGCCCTCCCCCCCCCCCCCCCCCCCACACACACACACACCCCCACCCCCCCCCTCTCCCACATACTCTCTCACACACACACTCTCACACACACACACACACACACACACACACACCCCCCCCCCCCCCCCCACACACACACACACACACGCCGCCCCCTTTCAAAGGGTAATTTTCTCGAGTTATCATCAAAGAACTGAAAGGAGCCCCAGGTAATTCAGAGGTGTAGAGGCGTATTTTATTTATTGATCCGATTCGACCAGGATTTGAACCCAGGTCTGTTTCTCAACATGTCATATTCATGTGTGAACCATTCAGTGGCATGGGCTGGGTTGCCAGTCCAGTAGGAGTGACAAGGTGGAATAACTGAACTGTCCGTCTATCGTGTCTGCTGTACAGGAGGATTCGGCCTCGAAGGACAAGAGGGATCCGGCAGACGAGGAGTCTACGGAACCTGCAGAGGAGCAGCAGGCTGCCGAACCCGAAGCGGAAGCCGAAGGGGATGCAGATGATGACGAAAGCGCAGTGAAGGATGAGCTATGATCCAGGTCTGGTTGTGGCGGATGGTGTGGAGAGATGCAGGTGCAAGTCCTCGCTCTGTGTGGCACTTTCTTTTCTGTTGCATTGGTCGGATGATGACTGCGTGTTCTGGTTATCATGCGGAGGGGTGTGTGGTCGTCCTCATAGGCCTTTTTTCGTTCTATTTTTTGAAGGGGGAATGAGGAAAGAGATCGCAGCTGAGTTATTGATGGGGGTGAAGCCCTGTCAAGCACATTCTTTTGATTTTTTTGGGGTGGGGGGTTAAGGTTGGGTGGTGTGTGACTTCAAATGTTTGGAGGCTGGAGACTGTCTGTCTCTTGCTCCTCGTTATGCAGTTAAGTTAGTGGATGCGAGCGGGCTGGATGTGGTGTTTCGGAAGTCTGTTTTTCTGGAGAGATCTCCAGTGAGATGTTTTTTTGTTCGGGCAGCCCATTTAGTGTGAATGGTACGTGAAATGTCTGTTGCCTCTCTTCTATATGTCCTTGTGAAAGACTGGGCAAAGTGGAACTCATCACAGGAAGCGATTCAATGTTTCCTTTTTCTGCCCTTTCCGTGAAGGCTTTCAGCGGTCATTGCTTTACTGTCAGGTGGTGTTCCCGACACTGTGTCGTTGTATTGTGTGCGTGATTGGTTGGTGTCCCTATGATGGAATGTATGGATCTGTTGCAAAAAAAGTGACAAGAGGGTAAGGGGAGAAGGGGAGGGTGTCAAGAGGGTAAGGGAGGGTAAGGGAGGGTCAGTGGAGAAGAGGGTGGGGGGGTAGGGCCAGAGTGTCAAGAGGGTAAGGGGAGAAGGGGAGGGGGGGGGGGGAGTAGCAGAGTGTCAAGAGGGTAAGGGGAGAGGGGGACAAGGGGAGGGGGAGAAAGGTTGTCCATATGGGTATATACCTCGATGCCTTGAACTTGATAAGGGGTGGGGGGCAGAGTGTCAAGACGGCAAGGGGAGAAAGGCTGTCCATATGGGTGTATACGTTGATGCCTTGATAAGGGATGGTCTATAGGTAGAGGGGCAGATACGGGGTCGTACATCTACTGATAATAGGCTACCATCAGAACCTTTAGGTCGCAATTACAACAACAGTGGCACATACAATAGAACGGTACAACAAGTGAGGGGGGGGGTAGGAATGGGTCCGCCTATGGGATGGGGCTTGCAGAGGAACGTCTATACCTAGCGTCTGGAGTACCTGTGGGACAGGGCTTGTCCGAGTATATGCTTCAATCAGGGGTGAGTGGGGTAAGTGGGGTCCTGATTTCTCCCTGGTGCCTACAACTGCCGGGGCTTAGGGGGTATTTGAGAGACTGTTGGGGGTGGGGCTTTCTGCATCATGCACACGCACACACGCACACACACACACACACACACACACACACACACACACACACACTTGGACGTCAGTGGAGGTGTGTCTCTGTCAGCATCATGCACATTTATTGTCAGTTACTTAGTGCAGCTTTGAGCCATCACACGAACGACGACATGTCACAAGGAACAACACGGCACAAGATATGAGCGGCAAGTGAAAAGCACAGAGGCAAACTCACTCACAACCTGAAACATGAAGTGTAGCACCAATGAAGTATACTGACACCACAACTCCCTCGTCAAATAACACCAGAACTCAACAAAACGAAATACAGCACCAGCTGCGAGCCTACAAATGTATGTAGAAGTGTCTGTAGAAAGAACCAAGTACCTACAAATATGTGTAGAAAGAAACTTAACTTATGAACCTACAGAGAAAAGAAGCAAAGTGCCTGTAGTAAACATGTGTCTCCGACATCTGTACACAGAAACCAAGCGCACACAAACACCTGCTCAAAGAAACTAACCACCTACGATTCTACGAACCTTTTTTTTTTTTTTTTTTGTAAGAAAGGGCGAAAAATTTTGGACCATTTCTTGACTAATGGGTGTCGTCCTTGAGTGCGCAGAGGCCATGCTAATCTTCTCTCTCTTTGTATCGTTCCAATTTAAACGGGTGTCCCGAAGGACCACCTACAAACATAATCGAGACGACGATGACAATAATAAAATGAAAACTGTGACACTCTTAACTGCTCCCTGTGCGCCGCCTCCCTCTGCCCGCGGCGGTCTTACGGGTGGCCTTTGCAGGTCGGCCATGTGCGGATGCTCCTGCTCTCTTCTCCCTCTTCTCTCTGCACCGCGTGTTTGGATGGCTCCGACCCGCTATCCGCATCCTCACTCTGCAACCCCCCTTTTTACCCGCCCTCTCTTATCCTACCAACGGGGGAAAGATCCCAAAAGTATGTGGCCGGGACCCAGTGGCCGCGGCCGTGGCTCCAGTCAGGCAACCAATCATGATCGGGGTTGATTCATAGTACTGAGGTAGGATCGTGGGGGTAGGGGTGGGGGCCGGGGAGAAATAATGCAAGTGATATGGAACGAGGATCCCTCCCTTGCATTATGGAAAGAGGACCCCTCCATAGACAACTGGATATGAATCCAAACTCTACTACACATGGCGGACTACCGAAGGTGGCTGTCATATGTCTAGGGGAAGGTGGCTGTCATATGTCTAGGGGAGAAATAATGCAAGTGATATGGAACGAGGATCCCTCCCTTGCATTATGGAAAGAGGACCCCTCCATAGACAGCTGGATATGAATCCAAACTCTACTACACATGGCGGACTACCGAAGGTGGCTGTCATATGTCTAGCATCCAACCTCTAGCATACAAGGGGCCTCACTCCACTACTCAACATTCGACATGCATTCGTACGCTTTCTGGACCTGCGGTTCATTTGGATGAGCGAGTGGTTTGAATGAATCGTGACGATGATGAGCGCCCCAGAGTCCGGATAAGTAGAGCATGTTGTGCAGTGGAGTATGAGATGTCTTTTGGGTGCCTGGGCTGTCTTTTGGGGAAAGGGCGACTGCTACCGGAATGATTTGTCTTGCTTGATGTGGTTTTCAAACAAGTAGAATTATGAAGTGCAATAGTAGGTTTTAATAGTTGAAATATTGCACTATCTTTCTTGTTGTGACCGGCGTGAGGTTTTCCCATCCGCCCATTGAGAACTCTGCGCAAATGTGCTGGACAAATGTGCGGGTGTTCAGATACATGATGGGCCTGGTTATGTTCCCTGATGAGGGCGAAAGGGGCTGCTGTCGACAGAAGTCGGGGATACCGAGTCCTCGGACGTGCGAGCGAGCAAATGGAGTGGAACCCAGCAGGTTATTAGTGGGGGCATATTTTTGAGCCGTGGAAGTGTGCGTGCAGCTAGTGTTCATGCACCGGGAGGTTTGTGGTAGCAATAGGGTCGAACATACCCAAGGGGGCGGTTGCAGGTGAACGATGGAGGGTTTGGAGGCTTGGATTAGCAGACTCGTACAACAAATGCACATTATTTTATGTAGCAATATGTGTGTGTGTGTGTGTGTGTGTGTGTGTGTGTGTGTGCGCGCGCGTGACGGTGGCGTGAGAGGGCGGATGGTTCCCTGACCACGAAGTAACTCGGACAAGTGGTGCTTCGTTTCTGCTCTGTCGTATGTCCACCAAGGAATTGCCCAAGACGCACGGCACGGCCAGCGTCATGGCCCACATCGAAACACTAGTTCAGAGGCATGATCGGATGTCGGATTTGCCAAGCAGATTGCATGTCGAATACTACGCTCATACATTGCAATGCCTGTTGAATAGCAATGGGGTGCTTATGATTGAATGCGGTGTCCCTTATCTAACCCGAGTACCTGAGTCGCACAAACACACATGAGCACACACACATCCACACACACGTACACAAACACGTACACAAACACGTACACAACCACACGTGCGCGCACACACACAGAAAGTTTACCACTTTTCTCAGGGGTGTCCCTCACTCTGGGCGATGTGGTGAGTCCTTGTCCATCAGTGAAATGAATCCTGGGCAGACTGTCGGGGTTCAACCTCCTGATGAGTCGGTGAAAGTCCAACGAAACAGTTTCTCTGGCACAATTGCGCTTTTTTTGAGTGTATGGCGAATATGAAAACACACACACACACACACACAAACACACACACACACACACACACACACACACACACACA